GTGAGATACTCACAATGATTCACTGGTGAGTACTACAATGTATATACACTGGAATACCCACAATGATATACCTGAAGATACCTCACAATGTATATACACTGAGAGATACTCACAATTATATACACTGAGAGATTACTCCAACAATAGTTATACACTGAGAGATACCTCACAATGTATATACACTGAGAGATACCTCCAATGTATATACACTGGAGATACCTCCACAATGTATATACACTGAGAGATACCTCACAATGTATATACACTGAGAGATACCTCACAATGTATATACACTGAGAGATACCTCACAATGTATATACACTGAGAGATACCTCACAATGTATATTCACTGAGAAATACTCACAATGTATATTACACTGGAGATACCTCACAATGTATATACACTGAGAGATACCTCACAATGTATATACACTGAGAGATACCTCACAATGTATATACACTGAGAGATACCTCACAATGTATATACACTGAGAGATACCTTCACAATGTATATACACTGAAGATACCTCACAATGTTATACACTGAGAGATACCTCACAATGTATATACACTGAGAGATACCTCACAATGTATATCACTGAGAGATACCTCACAATGTATATACACTGAGAGATACCTCACAATGTATATACACTGAGAGATACCTCACAAAAAGGGTAATATACACTGAGAGATACCTCACAATGTATATACACTGAGAGATACCTCACAATGATATATACACTGAGAGATACCTCACAATGTATATCACTGAGAGATACCTCACAATGTATATACACTGAGAGATACCTCACAATGTATATACACTGAGAGATACCTCACAATGTATATACACTGAGAAATACTTCACAATGTATATACGTACTCACAATGTATAACACTGGAGATACATCAATGTATATACACTGAGAAATACTTCACAATGTATATTCACTGATACCTCACAATGTATATACACTGAGAGATACCTCACAATGTATATACACTGAGAGATACCTCACAATGTATATACACTGAGAGATACCTCACAATGTATATACACTGAGAAATACTTCACAATGTATATTCACTGATACCTCACAATGTATATACACTGGGAGATACCTCACAATGTATATACACTGAGAGATACCTCACAATGTATATACACTGAGAGATACCTCACAATGTATATACACTGAGAGATACCTCACAATGTATATACACTGAGATACTCACCTGTATTCACTGAAATACAAGTATATACACTGAGAGATACCTCACAATGAATCATGAGAGATACTCACTGATATACGAGAGATACTCACAATGTATATACACTGAGAGATACCTCACAATGTATATACACTGAGAGATACCTCACAATGTATATACACTGAGATACCTCACAATGTATATACACTGAGAGATACCTCACAATGTATATACACTGAGAGATACCTCACAATGTATATACACTGAGAGATACCTCACAATGTATATACACTGAAATACTCACAATGAATCAGATACCTCACAATGTATATACACTGGAGATACCTCACAATGTATATACATGAGAGATACCTCACAATGTAGATACACTGATAGATACCTCACAATGTATATACACTGAGAGATACCTCACAATGTATATACACTGAGAGATACCTCACAATGTATATACACTGAGAGATACCTCACAATGTATATACACTGAGAGATACCTCACAATGTATATACACTGAGAGATACTCACAATATATATAACACTGAGAGATACCTCACAAGTATATATACACTGAGAGATACCTCACAATGTATATACACTGAAAGATACCTCACAAAGTATATACAACTGAGAGATACCTCACAATGTATATACACTGAGAGATACCTCACAATGTATATACACTGAGAGATACCTCACAATGTATATACACTGAGAAATACTTCACAATGTATATTCACTGATACCTCACAATGTATATACACTGGGAGATACCTCAATGTATATACACTGAGAGATACCTCACAATGTATATACACTGAGAGATACCTCACAATGTATATACACTGAGAGATACCTCACAATGTATATACAACTGAGAGATACCTCACAATGTATATACACTGAGAATACATCACAATGTATATTCCTGATACCCACAATGTAATATACGCTGGGAGATACCTCACAATGTATATACGACTGAGAGATACCTCACAATGTATATACACTGAGAGATACCTCACAATGTATATACACTGAGAGATACCTCACAATGTATATACACTGAGAGATAACTCACAATGTATATACACTGAGAGATACTCACAATGTAATATACACTGAGAGATACCTCACATGTAATACACTGAGAAATACTTCACAATGTAATATTCACTGATACCTCAATGTATATACACTGGGAGATACCTCACAATGTATATACACTAAGAGATACCTCACAATGTATATACACTGAGAGAGATACCT